TGTCATATGGCATCCCCTCCTCGTGTGTTTCGGTGTCAGGCGCTCCCTGCTCCTCGTGCGTGGTTGGGTGTCAGGCGGTGTCCGTGCTCCTCGTGCGTGTTTCGGTGTCAGGCGGCGTCCTGCTCCTCGTGCGTGGTTGGGTGTCAGGCGGTGTCCTGTTCCCTGTGAGGGGTCCGGTGTCAGGCAGTGTGCCTGTTCCCTGTGAGGGGTCCGGTGTCAGGCGGTGGCCTGTTCCCTGTGAGGTGTCCGGTGTCAGGCGGTGTGCCTGTTCCCTGTGAGGGGTCCGGTGTCAGGCGGTGTCCCTGCCCCCCGCGCTGGACCGGCGCCGCTGTGCGGCGGCTGTCTGTGATTTCCCGTCCCCGCGGCGAGGCGGATGGACTCCCCACGTGACATGGCTCAGCCCGGCTTGACAGGCGCCGGTCATGGAGAGTCGACTGTGCTCTGGGATGTGGGGCCCGCATCGGCGATGTCGCCGACACGCATGCGGCGGCTCAGGAATACGCCCACACCGCGCCAAAATGTCCGCCGCCATTTTTCATCAGCAGAGGCCAGGAATTTATGGACCATGACTCCGCTCTTCCTGTGACAAATCGGCGCTGCGCCCCAAACTCGATTCGGGCGCGGTAAAGTGGATGGTCGCCGCCGGGCCTGGAAACTGCGCATGCGCGACGAATCATCGCCAGTTCATTGAGTTACTGTAACGCCCGCTGATCTGTCATACGGCCCATCGGCCGCTGATGGTGACGTGCGCCCGGTCGGACGAGAGCACGTCTCACCGGCGCCCGTCGGCTGCTGATGGTGACGTGCGCCGGCCCGAACGAGAGCACGTCTCCACCGGCGCCCGTCGGCCGCTGATGGTGACGTGCGCCGGTCGGACGAGAGCACGTCTCACCGGCGGCCGTCGACGCGGACGCCGCCGCGTCATCAGCGAGACGCGCGGTCCGCAGGCGCGCGGCATAACTGGGGGCCGCGGCGGTGGACTGCCGGACCTCGCCGGGACGCCCGCTCACGGCCAGCTGACTGGCGCCAAGCATGCTCTCCTGTCAGCTGATGCCATGTGAGCCGGCCACGCCAAGAACTCGCCGCTTGAAACCTAGCAAGCGAAAGCGATGGACTTCCCCTCAGTTTTGCTCGCGTGCTTACATGCTGCACCTGACAACTAAAAGGTTTCCAGTACACGCGGATTCGTACAAGACCAAACAGAGCAACGACGTACATCATGCAGATCAGATGAGCTGTCAACGGCCTTTACTGAGGTCTGGTGCGCTGATTTTGCCACCTCATTCTTCGAAAAGCCAACGAGTTTGTTAGCGCATTGGGGCAAGTAATTTTCAACCGCTACACGGCTGGAAAAAACATTGATATGCGGCATTTATGTATTCAGTTTACACGTCCTGGTTCAGAACATCACGATAGTATCAGTAGCAAAATGGCATAACACGGTTATGCTGTGTGCAGATAAAGTATATCGCCAAAATGCAATCAAGTTCTGCTCCCCCTCTCCACTTCAGTGTTTGTCATATTTTGTGCGCTGAATTTTACGAGACGTGCCCACCGTCTGACCGCGTTTTGATGAAAGCATGCGTCGGAATTCGTTTCTCTATAGCATGCCATTCGACGGGACGTGGACGACTTGCGTTGCTTCCTTTACGCCAGCTAGGTGATTCTTGGGACATACGCCTGCCAGTGAAGCGGAGCTTTTTGTTTGATTTTCTTAATAGTTTCCGTGACGGGGACGTGCGCCGAATGGTACTGAATCCATATCTATATTGTCGGACCACAGAGCACCGATCAGTTATGCCTGTTTTGTTTGGTTTTGCTCCGGAGGTACCTGGACCGCGCGCAGGAAGTGTCGCCAGCTGCTTCCCCACACGACTGGAAACATTTTGCAATGTCCCCTTAAGATTGTTGAACGGTGTGTCCAAGTGGAAACATGTATTGTGCAGCGGCGCCAGGTTTTATCAGCCCCCGTGTCGCGTGCTGCATGCAACTCGTTCATGGAGCGGAGATGCGGAGACGAAATTCTACTTAAGTCGGTGCAGCCGACGCATGTGAATGAGGGCCGGCGGGCGTCCTAACCCAGCAGCGTCTGGCGGCGCCTTCCGCTGGCGCCTCGCCGCGGGCACCAGGGAGCGGACTAAGCGTCTGCGGCGGCGGCGCCGGATACCGAGCCAGCCAGTGCCGCGTACCCTGACCACGTCACCCGCCTGTCATGGCGGTGACCAGTGCAGACGGAACGGCTCAAGGCCAGGGCCGCCCGCTTTCTTCTCTCCACAGACGTACTACACGTGCGTCATTGAAAGCAGTCGGTTCAGACAGGTACGAGAAACAACTCCAAACATGCGTAATATTTGGTGTGTTACACTGGTACCCGTGCTCCCGGGTGGTCGCCGTGCAGACGGCATAGCCTACAGAACAGGCCGTCTATCTCACCGCACGTCTGACACGTGGCGGCCGTGCAGACGGCACAGCCTACAGAACAGGCCGCCTATCTCACCGCACCTCTGATACGTGGTAGCCGTGCAGACGGCGAAGCCTGCAGGACAGGCTGCCTATCTTACTACACGTCTGACACGTGGTAGCCATGCAGACGGCACAGCCTACAGAACAGGCTGCCTATTTCACCGCACGTCTGACTTGTTATTATGAGTATGTTAAGCTACTGTATTCAGTCAGCCCAGGCTGCCATCCGCCTGCACTGAATGTATTTCCTCGCCGGATACGGCGCACACCAGGACGTGGAAACGGCGGTCAGGTTGGCACTCGTTCGTAGGTCATCCCTCAGATTGGGACCGGTCGCGGTCTGTGACGAGCACTGGTCTGGTCGAGATCTGACGGGACTAGTCTGGTCTGTTCTGGTCGAGGTCTGACGTGACTGGTCTGGTCTGTTCGGGTCTCTTCTGGTCGACGTCTAACGGGACTGGTCCGGTCTGTTCTAGTCGACGTCCGACGGGACTGGTCTGGTCTGTTCTGGTCTGGTCTAGCTCTGACGGGACTGGTCCGGTCTGTTCTGATCGAGGTCTGACGGGACTTGTCGAGTCTTCGACGGGGACCGATCGGAGTCTGCGGTTAAGACCAGCCGGGAGGACGACATTGGGTGACAAGAGACCGACTTCGATGCAGGAGACCGTTTTGGGCGACACAGGCGGCGGCCCGGACCGGCCAGCGTGACCCGAGCGGGCGCGTCGCACGCGGGCCGGTGTTGGGACGGCCGCTGGCCCCCACGGCGCGGCGCCGAGCTGGCTAGATAGTGCTACGGCGAAACCCCTGCCGGCAGGAGTACTGCGACACCAGTTAAACGCGACATTATTGCTTCTGAAAAACTTCTGCAGGCTTTTTATACGCAACATTACTTCTACCGCAGGCTTTAACGACGTCCATTTATACACGAAATTCCTTGTACTGTAAAAACTCATACACGGCATCCGCATTACACGACACAACTCATGCCCCCAAATTATATATCAGTCATTGCTTCTACAGCGAAGACTTAACCGCAAGTTTTTGCTGTACACTGGCGTGTAGTCTTTGCAGTAGAAGTAATGCCGTGTATAAGCAATGGCTGTGTAAGTTTTA